TAATATATTCAAATATAATGCATGAATGAATGATGCATTTACTGATAATACATCAGTCTCTGAGTCTGTATCTGTCTGTTTCTGTGTAGAGTTTAAGAAGAGCTATGAGAACGACACTCAGAGCAGTGATAACGTGAACTTCCTGCGCGTGGGCTGGACATCCAAACAGCTGACCACACTGAAGCCCATTCTGTCCGACATCGAGTATCTGCAGGACCAGCATCTGCTGCTGACCGTCAAATCCCTGGACGGATATGAGTCCTACGGTACGTGTGCGCTCTGTCCTTAATAAACCGCATTAAACACATTATTATTAATCAGCTCACTGCTATCATGTCAACACTTCAACTAACTTTAACTAAGCTAGATCTTTAGCTAGATGCTCTTTAAACTGTTGCTGAACCATTGAAGAGAAACCAGACCTCAGAAGAAGAGGATGTAAACTGATGTCTGCTGTAGCGCCATCTTGTGTAGAGCTGAGAATACAGCATTTATTTGTGTGAATTTGTGTTCTGATAGACCAGAGGAAAGGTTGCATTCTTGTTATATTTTGCTAAGTGTGTTTGAAGGTATTTTATTTTATTTTATTTTATTTCAAATTAAAATAAATAAAAAGCATAGAATTTCATTTTATTTATTTTACTTTATTTTATTTTATTAAATTGAATTAAAAGCATTTTATTTCATTCTATTTAAAATTGAATTTAAAATAAAATAAATAAAAAGCATACAATTAAATACATTTTATTTTGTTGTTTTATTTTTGTAATAATTATTTTATTTTATTTTTAGTGTGAGCATTTTATTTTTCCCTGAAATCACTTTATAATCATTTTAAAATAATTATATTTATAATAATAATAAAAGGGTTGCACCAAAAACTGTCATTTTCTAAAGGTGGGATTTACACGTGTTTGTGTGTGTGTGTGCACGTTTCAGGTGAGTGTGTACTGGCGCTAAAATCTATGATTGGCAGCACGACGCAGCAGTTCCACACTTACCTGTCTCACCGCGGTGAAGAAACAGGTAACATCCGCGGCTCCATGAGGGTCCGAGTCCCGTCTGAACGCATGGGAACAAGAGAACGACTCTACGGTACATTATACACAGAAGCTATATTTGTTTTGGTCATATAAATATATATACACACTCACACACACACACACAAACACGAGTCATTTGTTTGTCTCTCATCTTCAGAGTGGATCAGTGTGGATAAGGACGAGACGGGCGGACCGAAGGGCAGGACTCTTCCTCCTCGAGCCGGACACGACTATGTGAAGTGAGTCAAGATTCATGATTCATCTGACACTCGTCATCATCTGGAGATTCATTTTGACATGTTTGTTCCTTCAGACCGTCCAGCAGCAGGAAGCTGGGCTCAGCTGACCTCGGGAAAGTCTCAGAGGAAGGAGAGAAGA